TATTGGCATCTCCTCCAGTCTGAGCAGCGTAATGACTGCGAAAACATAGTAGATCCCTTGCAGGGCAAAGTGTGCCGTCTCCGGCATGTGGAACTCGACTACCATGACAACCTGAGGTTTCCAGGTGCTGCCGGGCTAGCGGATCACCCGAAGACGGCCTTAAACATGCTAGACTAGACAGTCTACAGTACTACAGTATGCCCATGCAAAGACGGCGGCTCGTGATTTCAATAAGCCATCAGACGGTCTCGCAGACTGATGCTGACTTCTCGCCAGAGCACGGCGAAGCCGGCCAGCACAGCTGCCTGTGTGCCGACAGCGTCGAAGTTGCCCTGCGCCACCGAGTACACTTGCAGCAACAGCGAGGCGACCTATGCAGCTTTAAAGCTGGGCACCTTGCCTTGTGGAGAGCCAGCTCCTTTCCTTTGAGCTCCGTCGCATTCTTGCGGATCGTGCTCGTGAGAAGTAGTTTGTCCGCAGCAAGCATGGTGGCCTCAGCAAACTGTCTACTTGCAACGCACGTTTTCACACTTCCCTCAGCCGCAGAACAGGCTGAGGCCGCAGCTACGTTCGGCACGTAGCCACAAGCGCTCAAGCCCCTTGAACTTGAGCTCGAATAGCCCAGGGCTGTTGGACGGCTTGAAACAGGCTTCTGTGGAGTGTCAAGCTGCTCTTACCGGGAGTAATTGTCGTCAAAGCTCCCATGCTGCAGTACTCGGACATGCTAGACAGTGACAAGGCCACGCGGAAACTTGTGGCTCAGAAGCAGAGTTAAGCATGGCACAATGTCACACTTGCAAGACACCCAGCAAGGCCTTCAACCAAACGTGGTCTGTGTGAATCTTCTGGGGCAGGTCATTGGAAGTGGCCACAACATTTCGCAGCAGCAGGGTGTCCTTCTGCCACGCCTGTGGTGAACATGCATCATGCACATGTTCAGGCAGGCAACATCTAGCATCACTTGCTACCAGGGCCAGAGAAAGACACAGCTGTATCAAGACGCCTTTCGACCGCGAGTACGGCCGCAACGAGTCACCACCGCACGGAAGCGAAGTCGCTGCATCGTTGCAGCCAGCAGCCCCTGTCGAAGCTGCCGATGAGCCTGGCCTATCGGGCCTGGAGCTGCCGAGACGCCTCGAAGCTGCAGAGGGTTACCAGGCATGGGGAGCTTTGAAGAGGAGCCTTCCGTCAGGTCGATAGGACTTGCAGAGCAGCGCCGGAGCGGAAGCTTCCAGGTGCTGAGGCACGTTCTCCTGCCAACTTCTGCTTCTGCTTCTTGCGCATCGGCGGCACTGGATGCTGGAGCTGGAGGCAGATCCGGCAAATCACGCTCCAGATCTATAACTCTGGACGAGTCCCAGCGCACCGTCATTCAGCCAACTACGGGTCGTGTGGAATTGTGTTGACCGCGAGCTGATGCTGTGCTTTGACGTTGCACTCCCAGAATACTTCATGTTCTTAAAATCTCAGGTGCTTTGTTTCCGGTCAAGAATTGGTTGGATGCTGTGAGTATGGTGTGGTAGGGGAAAGGGTGGAGACCAGCGGGGACTCACAGTATTCAGCCGGCCCATGACACGCTGTCAAAAATGCACCAACACGCTGCCTCCCGCAAGCTCAGCCCCACGGACAGTGACTGAAGGAAAGTGGCAAACTGCTCTGGGCCTCAGTCTCAGGTCCGTTCGTCTCCTAGCTCACGACTTGCAGTCGACATAACACAGCGCAAGTATGTCCATGAAACTTCCGCTGGTGCATCGGAACACATTGGAATCGAAGCTGCTGCAACAACACTTCGAGGATGCCCTCGCGACTTCGGGCTCAGCCAGGCACTGAGTTCACCAAGACCCGTGGTGTCGTGCCGGGCAAAGGCCTTGCAGACACGGAAAGCACGATGCGCATCTACCATAAGAGGGGATCATCTGGCTGTCCTGTGGGGATTGCACCTCTCGTACTAGTTTCAACATGAGCTATGGGCTTAAGTCGGTTCTGGCGGCTTTTGCTCCTAGCCATGCAGTGGACTCCACCTGTTCGATCAGTGAGACAGCTTCTTGTGCCAGAAGACCACTCTCACAGGCACCGACGGCTGCCGCAAAGGTCTGCACCGTCGCTTGCATGGACCGTTTATGGAGCTCCCCCAGCAAACGCAAGGCATGCTGCCACTGAGCAGCGACTTGAAAGACAGAGAGGCATGCGTTGTAAATCACCACATCGCTCTCCACACCAGCCATGCCAGTTTCCTCAAGGTCCTGCAGCATTTCCAGCAAAGCGAGCGCCCACTCCCACTGCTTGCCACCACAGCTGCGGATCGCAGCAGTGACTGCCATTCGATTCACGTGGACCCCCCGACGAAGTGTAAGGTGCAAGGCCCACTCCCACTGCCCGACCGTTTCGAGAGCGCTGATAGTGGAGCTGCATGTAATAGCGTTTGGCTGCAAGCTAGCCCTGCAAAGCGATTGCTGCAAGTGGAAAGCCTTTTGCCAATGATCGCCCCTGCATGCTCCCAGGGCTGCGTTGTTGCATACGACATTTTGCTGCAAAGCCCTGCACCTAAGATTAACGAGCATTGTCAGCGCTGGTTCCCAGTCCCGGCCCTTTGCAAAGACATTAATCGCAGATGTAAAGGGAAGCACCGATTCCTGAATTCCTTCACATTGAAGCTCGGCAAGGAGAGAGAAGACCCGACGCGGCTGCTTGCCCGAGTCACAGGCAGCCATTGCAGCAGAATAGCTGAAAACATCCGCTTGTCTAAGCTGCTGCAGCAAGGCCAGAAAGGACAGTGCTAGTTGCCACTGGCTGCCGGAAGCGCATGCACTCATTGCAGAATTGTATGAGACCAGACTGCACTGCAACTTCACATTGCACGCATGCTGCAGCAAAGAGATTGCGCGCTGCCACTCCTCTGCCTGGACGCAAGCATTCATCGCAGAGTTGTAGGAAACTAGATCCGGCAGAAGCTGAGCCTCGATCATCTGGACGAAGCACAAGAGAGCCCGCTCCCAACCCTCTCTGCTCGCACAAGCGCTGATCGCAGCATTGTATTCGATCGCACTGCCCGGCAAGCCCTCCTCACGCGTCTCGACCAAATACTTCAGTGCTGCGTGCCACGAGGATGTGATCTCCGTCGCTCTCATAAGCGAGGAATAGCTGATCTCGTTGGCTTGCAAGGATCCATCCAGGAGATGTCGCAATGCTCGGATTGATCGTCGCCACTGGGCTCCGGCGGTGAAGGAGTTGGTCATCACGTTGACACCGATCGCATCTACCATAACGTGTTGCGCTTGAAAGTTCACAAAAAAATGCAGCGCACAGTTCCAAAAAGCACCGCTCTGCCTCTGGAAGGCTCGAAGAGCCGCATTGCAAAGCCGGCTCTCCCGCCGCAATCGCCTCTTCTGCATTTCCTTCAGAAAGGCCAATCCTTCACTCCATCGACTCGCTGCCACGTGGTTCAGAGCATTAAGCACGGAGCTACAGACACCGGCATCCAGGTCGATAAAGCTCGGGCTCAACTGCCCAAAAAGCTGGAGGACGGTCTCCCAGCGTTTGGACTCGGCGCAGGCATCCATTGTGGCAGTGAAGGAAGCGAGGCTTGCTTGCAGGCCGCTCTTCAATGCAACCTCTAAGATATGCAGTGCAAGCAGCCACTGGCTTCCTGCAGCACAGGCACTAAGCGCAGCATTGTACGAAACGATGCTCCTCTCCAACTTAACATCTCCAATCTCTTTCAAGAGGCATAATGCACATTCCCACTCCCCTCCCTCAGCGCAGGCACTGAGTGCAGAGTTGTACATGACGACATCGGCTGACCATCGTATCTTTGTCTCCCTGAAACAAAGCAGTGCCCACTGCCAGGAACTACCACAGGCGCTGACGACGGATGTGCACAGGAGCAGATTGCCGGAGATCTGGGTTTCCATGGATCTTAGCAGCTGCAAGGCTCCAGGCCAGTGTTCGGGGCTGTAGGAGCTCATGGCCGGAAGATACGTCCTGGCGTTGACTTGCAGGCTTTGACTCGACAGCTGGTAGACAAGGCGAGCCGTTGTCTCCCAGCCACCGCCCGAGTGGATCGCTTGAATGGCCGCATTCCCGAGCACGAGGTCGCTCTGACCCCTACTTGCCGCATAATGCTCCTGCAATTGCAAAGCGCTGGGCCAGCCGGCTTCAGCTGCACAGGCCCGTGTGGCCGACGTGGTGATAACGTGGTGGGATGAGAAGCCCGCATGGCACGTATGGAGCTGTTGTAGCAGCGAGAATGCCCGTGGCCACAGACCCTGACAGGAGTTTACAGCACTGCCAGCAGAGAACGCATCCCACTGCAGCCCCCGTTTCCTCGCATCGTTTAGCAAACTCAACGCATTCGACCATCGATCACCCTGCTCGCAGGCATGCACCGTCGCATTCAAGATGATGACATTGGCTTCGAGCCTGCGTGCGATTAGCTGGCACAAGACGAAAGCAGCCTGCTGCCAGTGACCTTGCTTCCCCCAGTGACTGATGGATGAGCAGTAGCTTGCCAAGGTCTCGCGCTGACGCCTTTCCACCGCAAGGACACTCTCCTGCCAAAGCCAAGGCCGGTGCCCAAGTGCAGGCCGGTGGTCCCTTCTTTGGCTAAGGCATTTCGGGGCCATGTGCGGTCCAGATCGCATGGCACACGGGCCATGTTGCGATGCCGAGCCATGCGGCAGACTACGAGGCACGGCACCTGGTGTGCCCAGCGCCTCCCTACAGTTTCCGATACCTTCAAGTTTGGGGCCCCACAAGGCCTGCGGGAGCCGGTCAGTATTGAATCATGCAAGTCAAAAGCCAGGACATGTCAGGTGCCCGCGATCCGCGCCTGAACCCAGTTACCCTTAGCTCGTGGACGACGGAGCAAAGTCTGTCGAGCGCGAGCCAAGATCACCTCCGAACCAACATCGATGCAACGTTTACTTTCCTGTCACCACGGTATGAAGAATCCATGTTCATACTCCCGAGGAGTGCGGGGCCAACAGCAATAGGTCTGACAAAAGGTGTAACCCTGCAAAAGCAAATTTTGTGGTGAGGGAGAGAGCACAGGATAGATGCATGGAGCCCCGGGAGCAGCGTGCCCCTTACGTCCCGTACGGCTGGTTCTGCACAGTCAGAAAGACTCAAATGTTTGGTCCACCAAGTCGGGGGGGACCGCTTGGGTTTCGATAGATGTGCAGTTCAAGAATTTCACGTCAGGCGTCGTCAGTAGTTGGATTCCCAAAGAAGCAACAACAAGGGGGGCTAAACGGCAAGTGCACCCATGAGAAACTCCCATGCGAAAGCTGCACTGCAGGCTAGTTTACGAGCTGGTTCACTTATGGTAGTTGCTCACATGACCTGTAATGGCTCTCCCCGGCATGGTCCTTCTCGTCCGTGTCTTGATTGCACTCTCGCCTTCATCGTCCCCCTTCACATCTGTCGTCTTGTCATCGCGAGCTTCGGTCGTTCTCCGAAGCTTCTTCGAGATGATAGTCCCCGTGGTGGCGCCCAGGCTTTCACGCAGTATTGCGATTCTTTGGCGGAGTTCCGACGTGTTGGAGTTTAAACCTCCCCAGGTGGCGGAGGTGAGGCGTTCCCACAACAACCTCGAGTGGTCTCAAGCCACCGCTAGAGTGCACCCACATGGCTCCCGAAGTGACGGCTCGACGAGGGCAGCTCGAAGAGGCGCGCGGCGGTTTGAGACGGAATGCTTCTGTCTTCTTCAGGGCATGAGGGGAAGGTCAGGCCCTCCTGCCACAAGAGTCCCCCTCTGTGAGTGACTGGGGCTTTTGCGTGAAATTTTCTATTTGCCTTGAGTTGCTTTGGGGTGTGAGCTGAGGGCAGTCCCCTCAGCCTGCGCGTCTGCGCCACCCCATCCATCATGTTGACAAAATGGGCTCGGCTTTACCGGGCTGGTGCCCCAAGCAAGTGAGATTGAGTTTTCCGGGTGTTCTCTCCCCCTTTCTTTCCCCAGGGTTACGGCAGAGGGTTGCCCCCCCCTACCGCGCGCGCTCCGGCGCCCACGCCTGTTGCGGGTCTCTCCCCCTCTGTCTCTCTCTCGTTTTTCGTTGCTTCCGTCCAGCCTGGACTTCATCGCTGATCTCAACATTCTGACCTGAAGCCGAAGCCGCTGCGGGAAACTCCGTGTCCAATATGCACGAGCTGAAAGCTAATGCTAGCTGCCTCAAGCTGCAGCTTGGCTAATTGCCTGCAAACCAATAGCACAGCCTGGCGATATCACCCGACACTGCCATGATGAGCCCTGCTTGCTTGACTTGGAGCTTGGCGAGCACCACGTGCCCCGACCTAGGCAGGCTTCGAGATCCATGGCAAGATTTTCTGTGTCTGGCCGTGGCAACTGGCGCAGTAACTCGTGAATTCAAGAATGATTCAAGGTCTCAAAGCAGACACTGGGACGCGGGACCTGTAAGTCAGCCACCGAAGAGTTCAAGAGTGCTTGCGTACGTGGTCGCCAGCTTGAGGCAGAGGAGACTCCAGGGCCTTTGAACTCCAACAAGCCCTTCAAGCAGCTCTGCGCTTCGTCTAGCCGCAGCCTGCAGCCGAAGTGAAGCCTACAAAGCGCTGTGGCCTGGCGGTGGCGGCGGGGGCTGGCCAGTCGCCACCACGCGCTGACAAAGGCGTGAATGAGGGAGCCAAGGGAAAAAGGGAGCGCACGGGCTACGTGGGTCAGGGGAAGCTGCCGCTTCATACCGTATCCGGATCAAGATAGTCATGCCAAGATGCGCAAAATCATTCTGTGCCTTTGCCTTTGCTCTGAACTGCTGACATCCTGCTATATCAACATGCTTGACTGGAGAGCTTGCTCTGTACCCGCTCCAGGTGTTCAGGGACTCATGCACGCAACAGAGAGTTCCGTTGAGACTTCTGTCAAGCATCACCAGACGGAGGCCTTTGGCGGTAGCGGCTTTGCAGCAAGCTCTCCGGGCCTTCCAACTTCGCCGAGCAAAGACGCGGGGGAGTCTTGATCACTGCATTGCTATGAACGAACTTGCATTTGCTGCAACAACTACTGCTGTTTTACGAACCCATACGACTGCCGTTGGAAGATGGGTTACACAACAGAAACCGATGCCTGACAAACAACTATTGTAGACTTTCCGTTCGTTCTCGAAACCATGCATGATCAAAACGACCAACGACGAGGTGCGGCGTGTTGAGCAACACGGCATAGATACGACAACTCCAAAAGACTCCCATGCCGGGCAAACAGCGAGGTTCTGATGCCATCACAACATGGAAAGGCGAAAAGCCTATCGTCCTATGCTTGCCTGGCTCAACAACACGAAAACGAAAGCATACGGGAGAGCCGCATACACTCGCATGTTCAGAACGCAAAGGCTATCACAGTGGGTTCATGTAAAATCGACAGCGGTACCTCTCATATTCCCCGTACTGACCGCTCGAACACCACGCGATGCACTCGCGCTGTCTGAATGATACAATGTTCTCGGACACGAGGCAACAAAAGGAGGATTTGGCAAGTGTTAGTGCGCCTTGTACCGGGCAGTGTGGATGACGCCTGCATCGAAAAAACAACATCCTACATGTCGCAACAAGGCTGGGTAATCAATTCACACCCCGGTCTCGCAGGTATGCGAGAACTCAGTGGCTGCATTGATCGCCTGTGACCACGGTGACGGCGGAGGCCGAGGGCCTTCTGAGACCAGCTCCTCGTCGGGCTGCCATGACAGACGGGACCCCAGCTGCCACTGAAGATGTCTAGTCAATGCTGGCTCTGGCATCATTGGCAGCCGTCAACCCGAACATTTTTTTCAACGTACAACACTCCGCACCAGAGCTTGTAGGTGTCACCCTGGACCCTGCACGCCCCTGTCATGCCATGCCCTGCTGCCTCTGGCGGAGGAGGAGGCGGGCTCGAGTCCTCCTCGATCACTTTGATTGCGGCCTGTGGACGTCTCAGTCCCACATGCATCATCTGTCCCTTTGAAGGACACTAAACACGTGCCAAGTCCCCAGCCGGAGCTGTCCGCCCAAATGCCGGCTCTGGAAACTCCAGGGGCTCCGCACTGCAGGGAATGAGGATGCTGACTCCAAGAGCAAGCAGTAGCAACGGCTCCGGCTTCGTGGCAGTGGGGTTGGTCAATGGGGCCGCTACAGAGATGGAAAGCTGATCGGAACACATCCCACCATCCTGATCTTCAAGATCTCTGAAGCATCGCAAGGTCGCGAGACGACAGTTCCGAGATGACTCCACAGCCGAAGGGCCAAAGCCGCGGAAGCAATCACAGGAATTACAGGTTGCTCAGGCTTTGTCAGCGGCAACCCATGAACTGCCTGCTGTAGGGCTGCAACACTGGCAGCGCAAGAGCCTTCCCGAACAGAGCACAGAATGCAGTAGACTCGGCACAAAACGAAAGCACTCCATGCATAGACGCGTAGCCCGGCAACATTGAGATCAGTGAGATTCTCATGCTGTCCCATGTGGCAGTTGCGAGTCGCAATCTCAAGACTCCCCGAGTCCTGTTCTGCCGTGGGCCGCTCATCTGCGTTCTTCGCCAGGAGCAGGCCCACGAGCTAGCAATGTCGAGAGAAAGAGCTTCGGAAACAGGTATCCTCATCTCAAAGCCTATAATCACCGATGTTGTGGCGGGGTGATGACGCCAGTGACTCAGAGCCCGCAGCAGAGGGTTGCAAAGCTGGGACTCCGGGATTGTGAAGTCTACGGCCTACGGTGTCTACAGCGCCTCAGACACCTCGGAGGCATAGACATCTGGAATGGGGTCATAGTGCTCCGACACCTGACTGTCGGCATGTTGCTAGGTGTACGACCAACGACTCATGCAGCTGCAGAAAAGTATGCACCCGCACATCTCTGGACGGCAACCAGCTCAGGTTTCCGCAATGCAGTACACCAGACCCAGAAGGGATTGCGACCTGACTAGCTTCAAATGAATATACTGCCGGATTGCTGCATCATGTGGCCGTTCTAGTTATCTTAGCCTTTCAGCATCCAGGACAGGGCTCCTGCTCAAAGGCGTGCCGAAGGCGGCACCTCGGCCGCTTTGAGCTGTGTGTCGAGACGTTGCCTCTGAACGAGGGTGTGTTAGGGTTGTTGTTTTTGTTTTTCGTCCACAGCACTGAAATCGCGGCTGCTGAGGCTGCTGGCATCTCGTACAGAACGCATCCCAAAGACCACATGTCGCTCTTGTCCCGGTAAGGCTCGCCCTTACAAACCTGCAGGACATAACTTGCACACCGGAATCAACATGACAAGAGTACCACAGAGGCGGCATGGACAAGAGCACTTCGCAGAATGGGGAGTTGAAACTTTAAACTCGGCAACATCTCGGAGCTGTCAAGAGATTCAGAAACGGCTCCTGTGGAGTTACGACAAGCTCCTGCGTTGAGCGCACAAAATCTCACAAGGATCAAAAGCTGTCAGAGCTGATGGAAGAGTCTGGAGGACCCATGGGGTTCTTCGACAGTCAGCTCAACGTCTTCCATGTCTTCCTGAACTTCTGGAAGTCAAGCTTTAAATTGACCTCCGTCGCAGAAGCAAATCCGCGTTGCATGCGCCAGAAGCGCACATTGCAGCAAGCTCCGCTGCGGTTATAGACACTGGTGCAGAGAGCATCTCAAGCGGCGCCGAGTCTCTTCAGGGCCTTGTTGCCGATGTCCTTTCGGAAGTGCATGCTGGATCCAGTGTCCTCGGGCGGGTCGAAGCTGATCTTGGACACGGCTTCATAGGCCTTCTGTAGAGCATCCTTCAGGCTTCCGGAAAGGCCCGTGACGGCCAATACGCGCCCTCCACTGGTGGCTAGTCCGCCCTCACTGGCTTTGGTTCCGGCATGGTAAACTTTCACGCCGTCTACAGCATCAGCAGCGTCCAGGCCACTGATGGGCAAGCCCTTTGGGTACGAACCCGGGTAGCCTTTGGCTGCGCAGACCACAGTAGCCGCAGCGCCGGACTTCCACTGGACTTCCGGGACCCTGGCCTTCAAATTGCCCTCTGCACAGCCCAGTGCGACTTCGAAGAGGTCTGAGTCCAACAGGGGCAGCAGGACCTGAGTTTCCGGATCGCCGAAGCGGCAGTTGTACTCGAGCAGCATAGGGCCATCCTTTGTCAACATGAAGCCACCATACAGCACCCCGATGTATCTCCGCCCTTCCTTGGCCAAGGCCTCGACGGTCTTCTGCAGCACCTGACAGCACTGTGTGCCGATAAAAACTGTCCGCATCTGACCTCCCTAAGCTTGCTGCTGGGATTCATCATGGTGCATGTGCCTCAGGTAAACTTGCACTGCAGACCTGGAAGCCTTCACTCGTCCTGCCTTGCCGTGCACTGCGCACGGGTGCCAAGCTGCGGATTGCTGTCTAGGCTCGCTTGACATCTTTGTTTCAGGGTTTATGGTCTGTTTACAGCACAAGCACCGGCGCCAGCCTCTTCCACCTGCACACGAAGCTCGGGAGTCAGGCATGGGGCCGGGGCGTACGCGCCCATCCCACCGGTGTTGGGCCCCTGGTCGTCATCGTTGACTCGCTTGTGGTCCTGTGCTGGGGCCATCATGGCAGCCACCTGGCCGTCGGCAAAAGCCATGCAACTGCACTCCTCGCCAATCAAGAGCTGCTCCACGACCAACTCGTCTCCGGCCGCTCCGAAGACTTTGTCAACCATCACTTCTTTCACCCCTGCCTTGGCCTCCTCCAGAGACTGCGGCATGAGGACACCCTTCCCGGCTGCAAGACCGCTGGCCTTCACAACCACCTCCCTCCCGGCTGCGTATTCGTCCTCCACGTACTTCAGAGCAGCTTCATGCTCCCCAGACTTGAAGTTTCTGTAGGCGGCTGTTGGCAAACTGTACTTTGCAAAGAAATCCTTCGAGAAGGCCTTGGAAGCCTCGAGCTCAGCCGCCATCTTCGTGGGCCCGAAACAGGGCAGCCCCGCCGCTGCGCAGGCATCTGCCAAACCCGCAACCAGCGGTGCCTCTGGGCCGACGAAGACTAAGGCCACCTGCTTCTCCTGCGCCACCTTCACCAAGCCGGCCACGTCACCATCGCTCACCGCGAGGTTGCTCATCCGGTCTTCTTTGCCGGTGCCTCCATTTCCGGGTGCGCAGTAGACATGCCGGACTTTGGGCGAGTCGCGCAACTTCACTGCGATGGCATGCTCACGGCCGCCGCCACCAACGACCAGGACGTCAGCCATGGCTACCGGGACCAAGTGCCTGAGCCAAGAAGCTGAGCACCTGGATTGGGGCCGGGGACCGGGTCGCTCGTGGCACCCTCGCTTGCAGTGCGCGCACGCGCATGAAGTGCCTTTGCAGGCCCCCTGCCTCCGGCGACATGTAGTAGGGAGTCCCAAGCATCGTTGCAGCCACCGCCGTGGTGCTTTCCAGAACTCTGGCAATTCCGAAGTCACCCACCTGGCTCAAGCAAGCAACTGCCGACCGAGCTAACCTTGTCGACTCCTTCAACTATGCTGACCTTCACGATACGATGGTCTTGGTCGAGCAGCCTTGGATTGCACAGCTGCAGCAGGGAGAGCAGCTTGCATAACCAGGCAGCCATGCACACCAGGAGGCATGTTGGATGTCTTGAGGTCACGATGAAGTATTCTGCAGGAGTGGACCTGCGACTTTGGCTTCGGATCTCCTACAAGGTTGATAACAGACTTCGACTCGACCGAAAACGTGAAAGGTCGAAGGAAGCCTTCCGAGAGCAAGTACGTGCTCAATGCACATCGCCACGGAAACTCAAGCATCCCTTGAGTTTGTCGGATCTTTTAACCAAAGCTACAGCCAAAGAGACTTTCTTCAGTAAGTTGGACCTCGTTGCATCATTCTTGCGGCGAAGGAGGCTTAGATGCAGAGGAGTTCCGTATGTCAGTTTCATATTGCCTGTCCCCCGCTTACTCGTGTTAGACGTAGGACTTCTGTTGCTTGTAGACTCACGATGTCGCAGCCAAGAGCTCGGAAGACTGGAGCAAGTTGTCCAAGAGCAGTTATTCATGGTATGGTTCCTCCAGATGTGGCAAAATCACATGTGGATGCTCCCTCCGAGTTTAAGGCTTCTGAATAATTGGCTGGTGTCTAACCATTTGTATTCTGGGTTGCTTGGTCTCATACCATGTATGTTCAGCTCGGTGGGATTCGCCTTAGACCACGCGGCCAAACTGTCCTTGCTGTTGTCCGCATAGCAAGCCATCAGCCGCTTCCAGTACACTGCCGCTGCATGCAGAATATGTGCACCCGCACGGCAGACGAATTGAAGCTAACCTGGATGGTGTGATCGGAACATGACAAGAAACAAGACGAATATGGTTCTATGTTTACATCTGTTAATCACATCGTTCTCAAAGTTCTCGGCCCACGCGGGCTCGAACCGCAGACCTTACGAGTATTGGCCCCGCGCTCTGGCTGACTGGACTATAAGATCGCTGACGGCCAGCGAAGGCCGAAGAAACACTCCTGAACTCACGACACAGGTTGGGTCGGGAGTAGCCAAGAGTAGCCTCAGTTCTGAATTCACAGGTCTCGAGCTTAGACCTGCACTTACAGCTACACAGCACCATGCGAGAGTTGCCGATGTTGACGTTTCCCGCTAAGACCTTCAGGTTTCTGCCCGGATATGATGGCAATCGTCGGCTGTAACACCCATCCTGTGTTTTTCAAGACGTCGCGACTTGGACACCGGTCGAGACAAAGAGCGCAAGAATCACAAGCAGCAAGGCGCCGGCGAGCGCCCAAACCCTCTGGATCGCAAATTATAAAAGCGCAGCAAGACGCGTAGTGTTCTGCCCGATTGGCTACCAATGCTCATGACATCCCGTATCACCTTTTCTATCTCTGCCCCTAGATTTTTGGGACGATGGTCTGATTCACAGCGCGTGCCATCTGACTTTCTTACGAATTGGCCTGCTTTGACGCATGACCTGTTTTCCTTTCATCAATGAACCTGATCTCTCTGATGATGCCAGCCAGTCCAAACAAAATCTGTTTCGATTGCTCGAAATGAAGCGTTGTTTTGTCAGATTAAATGCTGATCATGTGCAGTCAATTCCACCTTAATCGCACACAGGTTGGATAGATTTTGCTCGTGACCCAATTTGAGCACATCTTGCTGTTCCAATTTGGAATCACGTTTCAAGGTAGCTGCCCTTGCGGCTAGCCAGTGCAAGGGACAAATTGCTGAAGCGATACAGATGAACTTGTCAGCAGCTAGCAGCGAGCTTACACGCACCCAAAACGTAACTGAGCGCTCGCTGAATCTGTTTCAAGTGCTGGCAGCAGCACAAGACTGCACGATGGCTGACCCAGCAAGACCAGTCCGGGCGCAAGAGGACACTAAGCACCCGACATAACCCACTCCTTTGAGCATTTGCACAAAGAGGCTCAACACCGACTCTTCCGGCAGGCGCCTTCACGGGAGAACTCTGACGGCATTAAAAAGCTGGGAACTTGGCGCCCGACTCTTCCGCCGCCGCACAGTTCTCGAGCCAGACTCTCAGGTCGCCACCTGGATAAGCCAGACGCCGCATTGTCATCTCAAGATCGTGAGGCCGTGTGGACGGTCCTGCACAATACTCCATGACGTTGACGAGTGCTTCGCCCGTGTGGGGGGTCGTTCCTGAATGCCGTGGCACGCTTTGGACGTCCGACTGCCAACAATTGCTGCATGAATCTAGAATCGCTTTCGCGCCTCTGTGATGGAGGAAGGATGTGTGGTGTTGGACCTCGGAGAATCGTCAACTTCCACCGCAAAAAGATGATGCTGCACGTCCTACCATGCAACATAAGCAGCCCACCACATTTGGATGCTTGAGCCTCAGCTCTGAGTCAGCTCAGAAGCATATGCTGTGTTTTCTTGGATCTTGATTGCTGCTTCCGAGCTTGGATAACTATGTCGCTACCCCCATTCATCTGCATGCACATACGCAAGGATTTGCCTCCGATGAACACAGGTCGACCCTGGGTCATTATCTACATCACCAACATTCGTCAGCTGCGTTTTCAACATGTGCCCGAAGATCCAGCTGCTGGCTGCTTCGACCCAGGCCTCTTCAAGAGCTCCACCTCTTGCAAAGCCAAAGCGCGGTCTTTGTCCTGCAAAGACGGATCGCGGACAGCAAAGGGCTGGGGATTTCAGCTGCATTCATAGTGGCGAGGAATGGCGGATCACGCTGCAGTTTTGGGTTCCAGATTCAGTCGATGAACTTGGCAACACGAAATCTGCGGCTTCTGCCCAGCTACAATCGAAACTTGGACATCTCGTACTAGATGCTAATCCTGGTCGACCTAGAGCAGCATGCCCTTGACAGCTCGGTCACCGAAAAGCCGGTAAATACATAAAAAGCCGAAAAGCCAACTGCAGCAAGTCTTCCCGAAAGCAGTGCCAGTCCTTAAGATGATCAAGGAAAACGACTTTGGCCACCACCTTCCGTCACTGGCTCACGTAACATAGAAGAGAGGGCATGGAGCGAAAGGCAAAATCGCCGCCGGGCCAAGCCTGCTCAGGCTCTCCGGGTTTGTCTGTGCATTCCACAAGATGCCTGAACGGAAGGGCAGCCGCTTTTCGCATCGCAGAACTTTAGAGAGCCAAGCCGCAGACAAAAACAACTTTTCGAGTCCCTGGCGCGGTGCCGTACTGGCCTCGTCCCAGCAAGCGGAGACAGCGGAAGCCTCCGGCCTCATGGCGTCAACTGCTGAGGGCAGATGCTCCCTTTTCGAGGATGAGATGCTGATTTGTGCACTCAGAAGCAGGCCGCTAAGATCTGCAGTTCGGGGCGAATTATTGTCACCTCCTCAGCAAAGGCCAAAACAACTGGGCTTTACCACTGCTTTCCACGCTTCTTGGCACGGCGGCACAGAACTCGTTTTTGCTCCCAGCTCCAGCGCTTCTTGCTCCTGAAGCCATATGGCCAGAGCGTTCGATTGCGGCGATGCGCTCTTGCACGGTGATCGCCGGAGCCTGACACATTTGCCCAGACTTTGCACTTCTGCCTACTAGGACTGCCATTTGCCGACTTATTCCAATGCTTTTGCTCCGGCCTCCATTGGATTGAGGGGTGCCCCAGCTCCATCACCTTGGAGCGGAAGCTGCTGAAAAGCTGCATGGGGCGGTCACCAGAACCAGGCAAGTCACGGACTTTGGGGGCATTTGCTGCACCGCTTGCGGCTGCAAGACGCTGGATTTCCAGGCAGTCCATCTGAAGATCTGCTGCAAAGACCTCCCAGAACTCCATCACTTCGTCCAGGCTACTGGCACCCATCTGCCTCGACCATCTCAAAGCTTCCTCTGCATAGTGGCCGAGGAGATGAGACTCTAGCCAAGGCAGCAGCCACTGTTCTGCACCTGCACCTCGAGCGACCGCGGTGCCCTCGCCTTCACAAACCTCCTGGAGGCACCTTCTTTCTGTTGCTTCGAGTTGAAGATGATCCGCCAATTCCTGCCAGCTTGCCATCACTTCGGCGGCGTCGATGGCCCCCATCGCCTCACACCAGGCACTCGCCCTTTCGCACTCGTGGAGGAGGCCACAAGAGGCCAGCAGCGGCTCGAGCCATGGCAAGTTCCTGCAAGGCCCTAAAGGCCCATCCATAGTTTTGGTCCACGGCTTCGCCTGCTGAAACTACATATTCCAACATCTGCACAGCTCCGTCTCTTGCCGCCTTACATGTCGTGCCCGTTTCTTGACCTGAGAGCCCCAGGATCCACTGCTCCCTGCCGGAGCCGTCCAGTGAAGCGTGAATCCGACTCAAAGTGTCCGAGAAGCTCCCAAACTCGTTGCTCTCAGCTACGAGGTGAGACGGTACCTGAAGCCACCTTCCCAGCCAAAACCGCTCTTGCCATACTGGGTCCACCCTCGATCTCTCGCATTATGCAAGGTCATAGTAGTTGGTGCATGTCAAAGCTGTTAAGAAACTGGTCAGGGAGTGGAGGGGGCAAAATGCCATCGAGCCGCTGAGCTGCATCCCGGCTCGTCTGCGCCTGCTGCCTCAGGAGTGACAGTGATATGCTGGCACGTGGCCACTCTAAGCCTCTAAGTCGCGCACCATGACACAGGGCCACGAATGAAACCGCCTTCCGCAATCGTCGGCATGCAGGACGGCAGTGGACAGCCGTCCTAACACATCATTACCCCTGGCCCTCGGCTTGCTTTCTGCGCAAAGGTTGCGACTCTTGGAATGATGTGTTCGGAGTGACAGCGACAGCCTGCTGCAGGCGTGCTTTAGTGGCTTATAGTGGCTCGTGATTGTGGCAAGTTTGATCTTGCATTCAAGCCAAACAGCTCGCCACATCACAAGTCCCGAAGCAACTTGTATGCGAGAAAGCCGCCTGCCTGGTATCTGCCTAAAGTTCTTCACGTCTCCTTGCAACTGTTGACTTTTGGAAGCCGCCGGCGCTTGCCAAACGGCTTCGGGAGCAAGACGTGCCGACTGACAGGTTTCTCATCTGCGCGTGTGGCAACCCGGCTCCAGAGTGGTCTTGTGGATCAGAGTCTCGTCCTGTCTGCTCTGTGCAACACAGCGCCACTCTCCAACTGCAGGGCGCATCGCTCCCACGTTCATCGCTGTGGCCAGATCACTTCAGCTGGACCGCTGCATGTACGGCGCATTTTTCAACAGTCGACGGTCACTGATCTAGCGGATTTGCCTGAAGGTCAGATTCAGGCGCCCCGTTAGGCTCGCCAAGTCTCGTTGGAGCTTCTTCGGGGTGGTGTTGGGGAAAACCTTCTGGATGCCATGATGAAGCAGGCGTGCCGGACCTCCGAAGATGAAGATGTCACCAGACTTCAGCACGCAGCTGCGGATCTCCTCCTCCTCCGGGTTCATCGTAAACAGAAACCGCGCAGAGCAGCCCAAAGAGAGCGAAATGACGGGAAGGCCCTGGTGAAGGCTGGACTCGCTTTCATCCAAGTCCTGATGGAGGCCTAGGGAGCCTTCCGTTGTATAGTGATTCACAATGCAAGCCTCGGGCCGCATTTTTGGGAACATCTGCTTCTTGCACTTCTGGTCCAGGTCGTGCTGGATGCCACATGCAAGATCAAGAAGGTCTTCCGACAAGGAAAGCACCGGCAGACCGTCAGAATCTGATCGCACGTTCGTGTACTCGTGCGAGAGCGTATCCCAGTGATGTCCGAGGCAGAACGTGCTAAGATGCATACGATGCTTCATATGCCGACCTGCAAAGCTTGGCTTGTAGAACCCAGCCGGCGACCGGCCCAGCGACAGCACGCGGCGGGCCAGATGCCTCTGCATCGCCATAGAGATCATATTTTGGATATGCACGATTCCTGTGCCCAGCTTCCGCACTCTTACAGGGTACCCTGGGTCAGTCTGGCAGTACCACTGCTTCTTCTTGGCCAGGGCAGGCTCGACGGTCAAGGATGCTCCCTCCACCAGGTGTTCTGGGCTAGCTCTCGCTTTAGCCACAGCCGCAGGTTCCGCAAACTTTAGGTACAAATACCCCCTGCACCGCTTCACGACGGTCGCAGGCCCAAACCTGGACGTCCATGGTGCATGGTAGAGAAAGACAGGGAGATGGTTTGTCTTTTCTACTTACCGTGCTCTTTTGGGGCCGGGATGCTGTTCCATGTGCTGCAGAATGGTTTCCGACGACATCGCGGGTGGCACGCCGCCTCCCAAGGTAAGCCGGATCATCTGCTGGATGGTTCGAAGATAGGTGAGGGCTCAACTGTTGAAAATTCAAGCTTTGCCCGTGCCTACGAAAAGGACTTTAGCTCCCTCTGCCGGCCGCCGGGTGCGCCTCAACTCTCAGTCAACAGGGCTGAGCGTCACGGGAACCCTGCGACTTTGCTAAGAACGGCACCTGGCAAGTAGAGGACGATACCGCGGCCACAACGCAAGCACCAGAGGGCCAAGCGAGCAACCTGCACAAATTCCCACGCATCTCGATGAGCTGCTGCTCTACATCGGAGCGGCCTGCATATCCAGGTGGCCCTCGGTGAGGGTGTGGCCGGAGTAACGTTGCCTGCTGCCACAGGCCCTCAATGTGCGCGTGAGAGGCTGCAGGATGCTGAGCCTCGTTCGGCTCAGCGAGCGTGCTTCTAAAGGCCACGTTCCCCACGAAGGTCAGCATGCTTTGCTCTGGGGTGGCAGTCTTCTCTCTTACATCGTGGCCACCTAGCTTCAGCTCGTTCAGACCAAAGCAAAATGGCTGCGCAAGTCCAGAACGGAACCGATCCCTAGCCATCGGGCTCAAGCATGCACTCGCCGGGTATGGGTGTTCAGATGTGTGGGCTAACTTCGCCGGTTAGTGTGCAGAGAGTCTAGAGGCCATTTTGTTGTGCCAGGCACTTGGGAGAGTTGAGAGACGCCCATCGCACAACCCACTCAGCACATGACGCTATGTGGCGATGACATCTCAGCTATGCAGAAATCGGGGCTTAAGGCCAGGTCTTCCGTTGGAAGCCTGTTAAAAGTGCCCTGGATTGCCCTGGTGCCGATACTATGTACATGGCACGAGCGTTGCAGTTTGGCCTCTGCTTTGTGCTTCAAAGTATGTCCTGCGACCCGTGATCATGCTTCAATAGAATCAACTGAATCGATCCACGCGTGCCGGCCATTACCTGTTTCAGTGGGATATCCGATTCGTCCTCACCAAATGGGTGTTCCATCTGACGGCTCACAAACTCGATTCCCAGCAAGCTGAAGCTCAAAGCTATCTGCATTAGCATGAGGCCCCACGGTCCCACATAGCCAATGATCGTGAAAGGAAAACTGACACAGAACACCAGGAGGAGGGTTCGAAGATGCACCATGAACGGTGCCGGCGACTGCTGCTGCAGCACCATTTGGCAGAACCGAAAGGCTGTAAGCATGGCAGTGGCCCGCTCGTACATCCCGCTGGCAAGCTCTGCAGAGTAGGCCCCGAGCATCTGTCCCCGATGGATGGTGCTGAAGATGGAATCGAAGCACCAAAGCACAGGGTGTGCCGCCCGGGCGATTGCTGCGGCGTCCTCAGGATTCAGGTGGGCATCCATGGGCTCCCAGACATGGGAGTCGTTCGCTGGGTGAGGTGGCTTGCCGCAGGAAAGCTTAAATTCCACGCTGGCACATGCAGCATCCAGCAACCCAAGGAGTCGGCGCTCGTTCTCCTCGATTTCTCCTTTCAGCTTCCCTGTCAAAGAAAGCTGCATGGAATCCTGGTTGTTTGCCGCGGACATGGCGATGGCCACCGCGTTGATGCTTACATCCTGGGGTCATTAGAGTCTAGAGATGGGATGAGATGGGAACACTCCCGCATCCCGAGACCCAGACATACCCAGAGACACCGGAGAGCCCGTCCTGGACATGCTGCCTCGACTGCCACCAGCGGTCATAGGAGAGCTGGAACCGGAAGGCCAGAAGGATGGAGAGAGGCAAAGCTACGAGCTCATGGACGTTGGCCGGAACCCGGAAGAGGGCGACCTGACACGGATACCTCAGCGAGCCAACAAGACTCCAGCAGAATTACTTCATCTCTTCCCGACTTTAGAACCGCGAAGAGCCAAACCTTCCCAGCGACCGCTGCTGCGCAGCGGCTTGCTGAGACGAGTAAAGAAGAGCAAAAGCCAAAGCGGAAGAGCAAAAGCCAAAGCGTTTTCTTCTCGCCAAGTCTACATCCTGGTGATGGTGACCGCCACCAGCCCCGATCCAATGCAGGGTATCAGAGGAGCGAACTCGATAGCTCTCTGCGCATCCAATGCAAGGGGCCCGCGCCGACTCGCCCAAATCGCTTCATCTTCGCGGCCAGCCTTTGCAGCAGCTTTGGAGAAAGCCACGGCGAGGAAAACGGAGCCGCCCAGGCCAACACCGATCAGAGACTGGGCGCGGCGCAGTTTCGGGACCTTCTTGAAGGCCCGTGTGCCACTACGGGCATTGGCGAAGAAGCGCTCTCCAGAAACATGCCAGAACCCTGCCGCCGGAAAACGTTGCCGACGCAATAGTCGCAGAGGAGACTGGCCAATCCGAAGCCAGGTGCCACAAGGCATGAGAAAGCTACAGAAAACGTTGGAAATGCTGAAGTGAGGTAATGTTGAGTTGGTGATGAAACCAGCGAGGATTGCAAAGCAAAGTCAGTGTCTTTCTGTTCCTAGTCGTGTCTGGCGACTAACGACATGCGCTGCGTGGATTCATGGAAATGCACTCAATGGCATTGATATTGCAGGCAGGGTCAGATCAGAAGTGAAAGTGCAAAGTGGAGCCGGCAAACAAAAAGCTCTGCTTTGGCTCGCCAGCAAGCGGTGCATCATCTCGTTTGGTGCTGGCATGGACACGGAACATCATCGTTCTGTGTCCAATACCCTAGTCTGCGGTGCAGACAGGCTTCGCAACGGCCCGCGAGAATCGCTTCTGGCTGAAAGCCTTTCTTTGCAGTGGCAAAGCTCAGCCCTGCGTGGTGAATTGTCGCAGCCAATACCAAGAGTATCCCCGTCCAGCCATGCTCTGGATCTCCAGATGCCAGGAAAGCTGGCGTTGGCGGAGGCCTCGATTTTGAACTTCACGATCTCCGCGGCCAAAACAGGTTGGAAAACTCCAAGGGATCTAGGACGTCTTCGCTATTGCCCCGCCGGCACAGCTTGCATCCAAGTGTAGTAGCTCCTCAGCAATTCTGACAAAGGCAGGTTATGCTGATGCAGCCTCTCGTTGTCAAAGAAATTTGCATGTTGTGCATTTTCTGAGCGCAGCCATGGCATGCATGATACCTTGCCTACAGACTGTACAAGGAACATCAAGGAACTACACTGTCTGATGCAGCCCATGTTAGACTCCAACCCAAAACCCACAGCCGGCAGACCCCAGCGTCATGGATCCACCATGGTTTCTGCGCCTTTGCTTCTCTGCCTGGGAAGTGGGCACAGCAAGATGGTCTCCCGTCACCCTGCAAGTTACCTGTGCAGAGCTCCCGCCCCAAAATCAAAGCACCACAGCGCTTAAACCGGGTAAGGGGGCCAAAGTAGCGTGATGAATAAGTAGAAAAAAGAGTTTTGGTGGCAAAGTGTAGTATAGTATTGCTATACTATACTCTACTCTACTCTATTCTATTTTACTCTATTCTACTATATTATTCTATTCTATCTTACAACTCCACTACACTTCACTATACTAGACTTAAACTATACAACTATGGTACAGCTATGTCATATAGTATAGAGTCCATACTCCATACCACATTATAGCTCTACTATAGTTGTAGAGATCTGAGAGCCGGGCCTGCTGCGGCGTCCCGGCTTTGGCCGCCGCAGCCCAGAAGGAGCCGGCAACCACGCGGAAGTCCAGGCCTAGGGCCAAGGATCGCCCCGATGTCGCTAAGGCTTAAGCCGTGCCGACCCTTCTGCTCCCGCAGTTTAGGGTTTAGGGGAGTAGGGGCATAGGGCTTAGGGTCCAGGGGTTTAGGGGCCTAGGGGTTTAGGGTTTAGTATTTAGGGGTTGAGGGTGTGGAAGCATCTGCACACCGAACCTGCTGTTTGCTGCATTGGCCAATCCCATCCCGAGGCGTCTGCTCACACGAGTGGTTGTGCTGGTGTTGGCCTCCGTGTAGTGCTCACACAGATTTCCCCACCAACCTTGCGAGCATCTCTAGACAGGATAACGGACTGTTTTGATAGGTCTGCAGCAACTTGAGCGTTTTCAAATGCTTAAATCATCAGCATCGCTGGCTGCATCCGTGTCGCGGAACATATCGCCCTCTCCACCTTCGATGGCATGAAAATCCGCACGTCCGGGGAAACTTTCCACGAGTAGGCTTCTGCATCCACTCACACTGGTCAGCGGCAACCTGGGCATCATTGCTTGGAACTCTGCGGGAGAGCACAGAAGGAGGTCAGCATCATGCTTCTTCCCTGCAACCATAGAGCGTGATGAAAATCCCAAACTCTGAAATGAAAATGATTCTTCGAACATGAATCAAGTGACCCAAGCAAGACAACATGTCCTGCTGCATCCGAGTATCCAGAAGTTGAGTTCCTCAGGAATGTGCCCGTAGTCTGCATCCTCGCAATTTAAGTCACATGACAGTGCTCCCGCAAGTGCAGCGAGGGACCGGAAGATGCAGGAAGCAAAAACCTAATTTTCTCGTCAAAACTGCTTTGACCTAAGAGAACAAACCTCGAAACGAGTGCCAGTCGTTTCGAGACGATGATGAGACCAAGGCGCTCGGTGTCGCTTCGTGGCTGCATGCTGCGACGGGAGCACCACGCGCAGCACCGGCTCAGTCTGTCATGGCCAACTAGACAGACAGACCTAGACAGACAGACAGACCTAGACAGACAGACAACAGCCAGGCAGGCAGGCAGGCAGACAGGCAGACAGGCTGGCTGACACGGATAGAAAGAGTAACTTTTGATAAATTAGATTGGGTTAGATTGGGGTTAGATTGGAGTTGGATTAGTCCAATTAGCTAGATTGCATTAGACAAGTTAGACAAGTTAGATGTGTTGCATGGACTAGAATGACTAGATAGGTTGAATGGATAAGATAGATTGGATGGATAGGTTGGATCACTGATAAACATCAAACCGACTATGTTGGTTGCATACACAGATAGACAGATAGATGGATAGATAGATAGATACTGCAGACAGATGATAGATCATGTATGTGTATACACACGACTCAGAGCATAAGCGGTCGTGTCATCTGTGGTGCCCCGAGAATACTTTGCTGTGATGCACGGCACCTGGACCGCCGCTGCGAAGCCCTCGACAGGTTCGCCTCACGCACGGACCGCGTGGACTTCTGGACTGTTTTCGATGCATCTCCACAGATTCGGAGATTTTCACGAACCAGTGAAGCCCTCAAGTACAAAACTCATTCATCCACAAGCCTCACCTGCAGCTGTCGCTAGGCCGGGTAGCACTTCCTCCACAACAAAGCGCCTGAGTTCAGTTAGGGAAGAACCTGCTCAGCATACCGTAATGATTGAAGGCAGGACAGACAAACACAGAGAGCCCAGATCTACTCATGCCAGCGAGGCCTTGGGTCATGCAATTTCTCTTCGGAGGACAACGCAGCAGCTCCAACCAGGTTGGAGGAGCGACCCCAGATGGAGGCGAGGGGTGAAAGTGAACCCAGGCAGGGAAAGGAGGGAGGACCCGGGACTTGTAGGCGCCAAAACTCAAGGCTTAAGGCTTCAGCAGTTTCAGCCGCTGGCCTGTAGAGCTCCTGCAACCTCGCGTGGGCACCGTTGTTTCTCCAGCGGTGGCGGCAGTGGTTCTTGTTTGCCGCCTTCCCGGCAACGTGCAGCCCTGCCAATGTCATGCCTTGGAGACCCGCAGATCCTTCACGAAAGCCCAACATGGCACAACTACTTCAGCAGAGAGGCCCAGTTGGAGCGGGGGGCAAGGCTGGAAGTCCTCCGACCGCACCACCTAACTGAGAAACAACCGCTCTGCACTTCCTGCATTCTGTTAGGCTTTCTGCTAGTGCCTCGTGGACCTGCTCCAGGTCTTCTCTAGGGCACTCCAGAAGCTCCGCCACGAGGAAGCGGAAGTCAAAACTTGTTGGAACACCTCAGCTCCTAAAGGGATCCTGTTTGAAGGGAGTGGGGTCTGATGTAAACAACCAGAAGAGGCGAGGTTCTGAGTTTCTGCGTGCACACGTAGAGCGGTCGCCACTGACAAGGGAAGCTCTCGAGTAAAGCCTGCCCATCCACTGGGCAAGCTGTAGCCAAAAGCATCCGGGCTTTTGCAATTGCCACATCTTCGCTGCTTACCTCCGGCAGCACCGGGCTGTCTTTGCATTTTCGGACCTCCTCCGAGTCCTCAAAGCAACACACGTGGCCTGTCTCAATGGCTCTCAAGCGACTTCCAAAGCCCAGCAGCCACCCAAGAGCTGAGGCCCTCTTCCAGCTCGCCACGGCCCTGCTGCTCAAAGAAGGAGTGGATGAAGGAAGCCTCGTGGCCTCAGAGCTGAGGGTTGACGTAACCGCCCGGAGTTGCTCAACAAATCTCTTCCGGACTGAGTCTTGAGCGCGCCGGATCGCGAATGCCATCACCGAAGGCGTCGCAGTAGTAGTGCCACACATTGCGTCTGTACACACTCGCCTCCATCGCTTGCAGAGGCAAGTGGAAATGAGAGCAGTCTTAGACAATGTAATGTACTGATTACATGTCCAGCAGCTTGGTGGAAACAGATTTGCTAAAGCAAAAGAGAAACGGGACAACGACGAGGCGGCTCCTGCATGTGCGAGGAGATCTGACCAGAGCGGAACCACGAACAGAAGCTAGACTGGACGCTTTCGGCAGTGGCAACTGTCACGTCTGCATTGTTGTACCACTTTCCGGCTGTCCTTACTGCCACCGGTCCGCAAACCCTGATGCTTTTGCATCATCCCTGCCTTCTGGAAGATGCGCAGTTGCCCGACCAGGTCATGAACATCCGGATCGCCACTGGCCATAGCTGTCCATCTGAAGAGTCGTGCTACGAACGGCCAACCTGGCTCTGCCGGACATGTTGCAACAAGGTTATCCATCTGAAGAGCGATCCAGTTCCAGAATCCAGATCCCACTAGATTGCCGATTGCCCCAGGGGCAACAAACGATTGCGCACGCCCGTGCCGACAAGTCAACAACCTGCATCAACCATCAATCGGCATGCTTGAGCAGGCACATGCCCAAAGATGCAAGCCAATACAAGCTGCAGGCATCCAGACCATTAAACGTGACATTGCGCGATTTACCCTAGCATGGACGGTCGGCTTTTTGCAATACCACAATTCTCTGACACCCCTTCGTAACTGGCTGTCGCAGAAACTGTGGGCTGGCGCATAAGCCTTCTCAGCATAGCAGCCTGCCCATGGACAACGTGGCCTGCGCTACACGGACATCCAGCAGGAAGAAGCATGCCTTTACATTTGCACTGCTGCTCTTCGGGCATCTCAGAATCTCCTGGTGCGGTGTGGCAGGTGGCACTGGGTTGGGGCTAGCAGAGCAGAGTGCGGCATGCAGGCAGATCAGAGGAGTCTGTGAGCTTGCAGGCTAGTGCTGCATCCAGAACAGAGAGCAAAGCTCCTAATCCTGAGCTCTAGAGGCCTTTTCGCCTCAAGAGAACAACAGGCTTCACCCACTGACCTTAGATTATGTTCTACGACATCAATAACGAGATCAAGGGCACCCCCGGCCTCTTACAAATCGAGTGGCTGAAGCTGCACCGCAAGCCGAAACACTTGCAGCCGGGTGAGCGGTCCCTGTGAGTGAATCCCCCAGGCCCAAGCCCTCAAGAAGCCCCTTAGGAAGCCCTTCACAATGTCTCGAACCCAACGAGACCTTGCCGTGAGATCCGCACCCGGCTACACTGGAGCAGGAGCAGGAGGATGGGCAAAGAAGGATTCGATGCGGAGCTTTCTGTCAAACCGAAACCGAAATGCTCCTGAGTCCCGCCACCGGCGACGACTCCCTTGAGTCAGGAAACCCACAGATGCTTGGAACTCCGTCGCGGGCGGCAAGCTCCAAGCAAACGCTGCACATCAGAGAACAACCATCACGTGCAAAAAGTCCTGCATTCACCCGATGTTACGGTCTACAGTTGTGCCAGACTGCAGATGCCTCCAGTGAAACGTTTGGGATCATGGTGGCCGAAAAGCTGAAGAGTGGTATTTTCAGCATCATCTGCGACCGGACACTGCAGAAGTGTACACCAGGGCCGGGAGCAACAGGCAAGCTCGGCTACCGTGTTCGGATTTACAAAAACCACATCTAGGCTCCTCGGGATACCTTGGGCAAGCCTTGGCTTGATTGCAGATAACCGGGACCGGGATCTTTCCCTTGATCGTGCCGAGCTGGCAGGTGCTGTGCTGCCCGAGCTCGTTCCACACGTCGCTCGAGCAGCAAGGCGGAGCGGGAAAAATAGTGAGGGGCTCTCGCCGTTTTGTAGACCCCCTCCTGCCTGAGGACCTACCTATTCGGGAAGACTCGCGTGAATTCAGGCGCTTCATTGCCTCACACGACGAAGCACTGCAAGATGATGCATACTTTGTAGCAGACATGCACTCCCGTCTCACCGAGTCTTGTCTGCGTGAGTATTCAGTTATTTACATCAGCGCTCAGCGCGTGCAGGTCGGTCAGGCCCAAACCTGGACCGCTGCACCAAAGCCAGAGATCCATCCCACGAACTTCTCTTGGAGTGCAGGGGGCTGGAACAGAAATCTTCGATCATCTAGATAGAACGGAACGACGGACCTGTGCACTCCAGCGTAAGGAATTCAGTGGAGTGGCGTCTGGAAAATGAGGCTGCAAACCCATTTGCGCCAGACTGCTCCCGTCCGATTAGATCGTAAAGCATATCCTGTATTCGCCTCGTCAGGCAGCAGACCATATCCGCGGACCAGGTACTTCGTATCCGGACTTACAAAACAAGACCGGTTTGAAGCGATACTGGCCTTCACGGTGAGTCGTCTGGACGTGTTACCAACGAATTGAGGCATTTTCAGGTTTGAGGAAACCTTCTTGCGTTTGCTTGTTAGGCTGTGCAGCTTCTTTAGCAGTGCTCTGAATCACGGGGCTGAACCGGTGCTCCCTCTGTCCGCGAGGATGAGGCAAAGAAGCACAGGAGCAGTGTCATGGCTAGACCATACTACACCACCGCAATTGCCAATGAGCGCCCATCCTCGCTGGAAACCAGCAGGTCAGCTTCGGCCATGACACAGTGCCATTGCTGCGGTTCTCAGCTGCAGCCCAGGGAAAACTCAGCTTGCTGGGCTAGTCGGCTAGTCCAAGAGAGCGAAGGCCACCCCACATTGCGGGCAGAATGTGTGCGAGGAATCGCGTGGCCTGAGCGACAAGTAAGCCAGAACCTGCTTCCGCATATTCATATGAGTCACGTTCGCTTCTTTATTCCTTGAAGTTTCTGCCGCCCTTCCCTCTTCTACATGTTTCTCAACCGCAACAGGGAACATGGCTTGAATACACAAGCTGCTCCAAACAGCCACTGTCAAGGTCTTGAACACAAAACACGCATTTTTCGCATTGCCTATCTACACACACATGTGCATCTGGAGGAGGCCGAATGCTTTCACAATCAATCGTGCAACCATGTCTGTATTCATGGAGATGATGAATGCAGAAGCCTGAGTCGTCATGTAGACACAGTCATGCATGTATGGAATCATGAACGTATGTATGTGTGTTTGTAGATCTACACACACATGCACATATAGACAAGGGCACATGCATGCTCACATGGATCTCAACAGGCACACAATGAGCAAGATAGCTGGACCAGGTAGGCAAACAGACAAGGTGCTTTGAGTCAGAAGAACCTTTTCTCATGTTGGACGATAACGAACCAAGCGCTCACGTGCATGCAACAGGTGTCTCTGCTAGCTAGCCGTTTCTTTCGGTTTAAGCGCCGATCACAACCACAGCCACGACGACGACGACGAACATAACAGCAACAGCAACAGGCAGCAGCAGCTACAGCAACCAACAACAACGGCAGCAACAGCAACA